CTGGAGAGCCATATGAGGTATAATCTATATGTCATTTATATCATATAAATCTATATCATAAATACATGTCAAACAAAGTCATAGAACCATAGAACCCTAATATATATAATAAGTTACAAGTCATAGAACAAAGTAACACGCATGATAAATACTGTAAATAAAGTCAGTCAATCCTGTTACTTGCATGTCAACAGAAAAAAGATACAGTTATTTAAAAGAAACAGGGCTGACAGTAACATGTTTGACTATTTCAAGCTTATTTGCTAATTGTTAGCTAATAGGTTAAGTCGCAAAAGCACGTTGCACAGTTTGAAAAGATATTAGATATTTATTTCAGTTAACTTGAAATTGCATGATTCCAATCAACCCCCTCTCCCAAAATATTTCATGCAAAATCACTATTTTAAATCCAAAACAAAGCAAACCAGTAGATCGATCAAACCCTACAAAGAACAGTCTATATTTGCACTCATTGAAAAGCACAGCAGTTGCGATGGCAACAGGTTGATCCCTTGCCAACGCCGCTGTAAGGCCAGGTCTGAGGTTCATTACAGCATCATTACCATAGCCGTGTTTGACAGTATTCAATAATTCACATTCAAAGGCTTGAAACCGGAGCATTGGCCTCAACCAAACCGTGGTCATAACTCTCTCACAGTGTAAATCATGTAAGTTCCCGCACTCGTTTTATAAGGACTGGCAAACAAACACTGAGTGGGAACATATGCGAGCTCAATCAAAGTTTGTTCTTCCTCAGGAAGCACAAATGCCAAACTTCCCACACTGCTTAAAAAACACAGTTTGGAAAGATTCCGCGGAACACAGTAAAATACAGTTAATTAATGAACTGTAAGTGATGGAGAAGACAATGCATTTAAATGTAAAAGATGATGCATATATAAGTGCACCCCTCACATATCTATCTTTTAAATGAAGATTTTTAATAGGAAGCTATACAATATTATTTTTGTGCATATATATTAGATTAGTCAGCCAAATCTAGTGTTTATCTAACAAAATAACTTACGATAATGGTCCAAAAACTAGTGTACCCAAATTTATGTTTTAGGGAAAAAATTAAATACAAATTTAAAAAGAGCAAAAATAAAAAGAAGCAATTTTTTTTATTTAGTTGAAACTCTGTTGGTTGTAATTTTTTTTGCAATAATTTGCTTAAATTTAATTAGATTATCTTTAAATTTCTAAATATGTTTGGTGACTAAACTATTATATATCTGTTAAATAAATCTGTTTTGTTTAAATGCACTTTCCTAGTGATGGGTTGCAGCTGGAAGGGCATCCCCTGCGTAAAACATGTGCTGGATAAGTTGGAGGTTCATTCTGCTGAGACGACCCCAGATTAATAAAGAGCTAAAAAAAAAAAAAATGAAAGAATGAATGTTTAAATGCACCAAAATACATTGCCTATGTTCACTGAGAAATGGATAAAAATGTCATTTTCAAAATGGGGTCGACTCAACTATATGCTGAGCACTGTACATTTACTATACTATATTACAGTGATTATGTATAACACATGAATTATTGCAGCATATTAGGTTTTTTAATTGTCATATTTACAATACAGTAAAACAGTGTTAATGCTTTGTTTTTGTCTAATGAAAAAAAAATAAATCTATAGTGTTGCCAGATTTTCAGTTGTTTCAAAAGATAACTGAGTATTTAGAAAGTTCTAAGTATATAAAAATGAACCCATTACTAAGTTACAGATAACTGAGTGCCAAGTAATACATAACCGAGTACTAACAATATTAAAATAGATCACAATTACCATTTATTCATTAATTTTCAGTGGTTACCATAGCGGAATGAACCGCCAACTATTCCAACATATGTTTTATGCAGCGTGTCATCTTTAAATGCATTTATTGTTATAGTAAAACACCTGCTAATATTCCTACCTTATAAATCAGTAATAATTGTCATACTCTGCATTATTTTAGTAGATAACTGAGTATTAAGTAAAAAACAGATACTAAATCAATTCTATTTAAAAAGGCACTTAAAACATGATCAACTTCAAGTGAATCAGAAGATTGTTTGTTCTGAACAACACGCACTGGTCACCACGCTTGCTGATTTGTGAAATCTTAAGTAATGAAGCTTTGAGATGAAACACACGAAGACAATCATTTGGAAAAACTCAATCAGAATGACTAAGTGTCAAAGTCCATTCTCGCATCCTCCCATCCATTTTGTTATTCATGAATCACAGTGTTATGATTCACTCTGATATATGTTGCCAAGGGCCGAATTTTAAATAGTCTGCCATGGGGACAATTTTGCAAACCATTGGAGAGTAACAAATACATGGACACACACACACAAACACACACACACACACACACACACACACACACACACATACACAGACAGAATGAACTGGACCTCGCTGCGCTCAAAATGAATGGACTGAGGATTTACTTCCAACCGTCTGGGTACTTGTTAGTCTTGTCAGGCAGAGGCTACACACCAAGAAGAGCACAGAAGACCACTTACACTAGCTTTGCTTTCTGTGTAGGAATTCTGCTCTGGTAAAACTTAAAAACTACACAGCTGAAATAGAGCCCAACCACAGAATCAAATGTGATTAATAGAATCAAATATAAACACACAAAAGATCCTTATTAAAAGGCAAAGTTATCTCTCCAACTGCATCTTTCAGATTGATAACATTGACCTCTCTCTACTCTCAGGATCTATTATCTCAGTTATCTTTTGCTTAGTTCTCCATTATCTGTTACTAGGTGCTTAGTTATCTGCTGCTTAGTGCTCAGTAATTTGTTAAGACGCTGATAATCCAAACAAAGTTCTTTTTCATTCTTTGAGGGCAAAAAGAAGTTTAAAAAAGCAGAGTGAAGGCATACTGATTTTTTAAAGGCAGGGATTTCAATGTTTCACTCACACTGATCATTATATGTAGATCAGTGGTCATGCTTCTTATGTGTACCCTCTAAACACAACAACGATTGTGGCTGTAAGAGGAACAGTTCATAAATGTCTGGCAAAAATATCTTTTCCAACCTGTCCTAGACAAGAAGAGCCATCTTGGTCCGCCACATCTTAACATTGGTTTCTATTTGCCCCCAATAGACACTGAAGTGCACCACTGGTGTGTGTACAGTAAAAGAAAACCATGTTTAGAACGTTTAAATATGTGACGCGACGTGGTGGTGGTTTTCATTCAGTGTGTCACTTCATGTTGCGAACTTGGTGTATTTGTTTTGAATATTATTCTCCTGTCTGAGCTCAGTGGATATGAGATATGAATCAAAGAAGAAAGCTCTGGAACACTGATTGTGTAATCGTCTTGGAGTAATGGTAGCTCAAAGGTGTTTAGGTGGCAAATCAAACTAACCAAAACAAAGTTTTCTTGGTTGAACTTTGTCTAAAATTGCCAAAACAAAATCAAAATGAACTTTGCTTTAGTTTCAAATTAGGTCACTTCAGTTCGTTATTTGTTTTTGTTTGAAGTACAGTAGTCAACATGTGAAGTGGTTTAAAAAATTTTTCAAAATCACCCTAAGACAAAAATGGATCTTGTTTAATAGTTTTAGGACAAATTTGGTGAAAAGTTTTGATCCCCTTCACTGTATATCGAGGCCTTTACTCAGTACTTCCATAGCTATCTTTTACTTAATACTTTTTAGTACACCAAAAAAAAAGTTTCATTGAATTTACTAAATATTTTGAAGGTAAGTGGTTGCAAACTGTTTATATTGGCTGAATTTTAACAAACAAATTAAATTTAGTAATGTTCAACTTAATTTGTTTGTTTAAATTCAGCCCATATCAATTGTTTTGTAACACTTACCTAAAATGTATCCGTTATCTGTTACTCACTACATCTTAGTAATCGCATATCTGATACTAAGTACTCAGTGATAAGAACTCAATATGATCAACAGAATCAAACCCAAACCCATAAAGATCCTAATTAAAAAGCAACTTGTTCATTGACTAACATACTCTAGGTTCATTCTGAAAATGAAGCCCTATATACGTTTTTAGAGATCACGAATTATGTAGCCAGAAGTATGTATGGCTGCATTTCATCTTTAAAACGAACGCTACGGGGCGGTATGACGCTGTTTGTTTTCGTGCTTACCCGCTGACCGCTGACCGCTTACCTCCGGAAGAATGGCTTTCCTGCTGTAATTAGTCAGTCCAGTTAGCTTGCCATGTACGTCGGCGGACTTGAGATGCAGAGAAGGATCGACCATGACCATGGGGTTTGAGTTCGGCAAAGAATGGTTCCAGAAAGTGGGTAAGACGAAAACAGAAGCCAAAAAACTAAATTAGCCAGTAAATAACAGGGTGAGAATGGGGTAAAATCTGAAAACATGGTAAAAATCAGGCGAGGGCTTTCCTTTTTGTCAATCGGTGCTTTAGAAAACACTATTGGTTGGTGTTTAGGGAAGGAGGAGGATGGATCAATTAATCGGTCAGTCAGTCATTCACTCAGTTGACAGCGTGAAACCACTTACGTGATTTACGTGAGAACAGCAGGCACAAATGGCACTCTTTCAAGAGAAATTTGAGATCTGAAAAAGCTTGCACAGCGGCCTCTGGTGGATTCGCGAAAATAAAAACAGAAAAACAACTTACCTCCTGGGACTTATTTGGTGCTCTCCAGAAATGTATACAGCGGTACGTTTTCAGAATGAGCCTGGGTTGTCATTGACATTGGTATTTTCTTTTTTTTCTCAGGATGTATGAAGTACTTTCTTAGTATACAGTTATCTGCTATTTGCAAAGTATTTTGGTATCTGCTACTTAGTGCTCTCCTTTTTGTTACTTCGTACTATTTTGTATTCTGTCATCTGTTTCTAAATTCTTTTCTGATACTCAGTACTAACTTCCGATCAACAGAATCAAAAAAACCCACAAAAAAATTCTTGATTAAAAGCTTCTTGTTCTAATCAAGTGTATATTTTAGATGAGTATGGTGACGTGTGTGTTGTTTTCTCTTCTCTCAGGATGTATGGAGTGCTGTCTGAAATGTCTAGGAGGAATCCCTTACCCATCGCTGATTGCCACTATACTGCTGTATGCTGGAGTAGCTCTCTTCTGTGGATGTGGACACGAAGCTCTCTCTGGAACGGTCACCATCCTCCAGAACTACTTTGAGGTGATCAGGGGACCTGGAGATGGTCTGGATGTGTTTACCATGTAAGTGACAGCAGCACATTTAACTAGCTATTTTATATAGATCTTCAGATATATGCATTTTTAATACATAAATACCTTGCCGTAAAAGATCACATTTATAAGTTATAAACAGTGTTGGGGTAATGCATTACAAGTAATGTGAATTACGTAATAATACTACTTTTCCAAGTAACGGGTAAAGTAAGGCATTACTTTTAAAATGTTAAATAGTTATATTAGAGTTACTTTTTTAGAAATGCAATGTGAGTTACTTTTTAGTTCAGTTATTTTACTTATAAAAAAATAAATAGCTGAATCAAAATTAGGTTAGTCATGTTGAATCCAGCACTCAATGAGAGAATGCAGGATCAGACAGAATTGAAGATGGCTGAGCCTTACATTTCTGCAATGGAAAATTCACATTATTTTGAACATATGGAAGGAAAAGAGGATGCCGTAGAAAAAAAAAAAGAAAAAAAAGGATTGTCTTAGTGGACAGTGATTTTACTTTTCTCTGAAGATAACATTATCCCACATAGAAAAAGTAACTCAAAAGTAACGTAACGCAGTACTTAATATAAATAGTAACTAAGTAACATAACTAGTTACTTTTTAGGGAGTAACTAAACATTGTAATGCATTACTTTCAGAAGTAACTTTCCCCAACACTTGTTCTAAACAAAGAGTATTGATGTAATTTTTACAAGCAAATACTACTTTTAATAATCTCTATCTTCATGCATTGTACTGTAAATGCTGCACATAAAAGTCAGGCATCTTTTATTAAGCACTTAGCGATCTGGTTAATTACTACATTCTGAACAGTAAGTTATCTGTTAGTATTAAGTTATCTGTTATTTAGTAGCCAATTATTGATCACTCGCTTATTTTTTTATTTTTTTTTAAAATGTTTTTAGTACTTTACTGCAATGTAAAAAATGCAGAGTTCCACATAACTCGTTCTTGTTGTCCCAATACAAATCGATTAAGTTAACATAATTGATTTTACAAATTTTAGCAGATCGGAGATAAAGCAATTAATTTGAATTTTAAAAACTCAAGAATTGTATTAATTTAGCTCTTTTTAAATTAGTTTGAACAAGCAGCAGCTCTTTTTTTGAGTGCAATTACTCACTTATCTTTTATTCACGATTGTCTTAATAGCTAATTATCTGTTATATGGCATCAAGAAAGCTGAATTTTGTGGCACTAAAGCAAAAACTCTACTTTCAGGTTTATTTATTAGTAAAGATTTAACTGGTTTATGAAAATACATTTTATCTTTGAATTTGGCACAGAAAGAATGAGTACATGAGCATGTTCATATGCAGCTTAAACTGCATAAACTTAAAATTAGTCACTAATTAAGTACTTAATTAAATAAATGAACTAAATGTTCACTAATTTCCACTATGAAAAAAATGTTCCACAATTTTTGCAAGTTTATGTGCATTTGGGACTTCATTTCTAAGCTTTTTTCAGTTTTTATGTCTTCATGAGAGTCCACATAGACTTAAAAAATAACTTGTGCTGCTTGTTCAAACTACTTAATTAAAATGAGTTAAAACAAAACAATTCTTACGTTTTTGGGGGGCAACCTAATTGTTTTATGTTCAATCTACTTAAATAAAAAAAAAACAATAAATTTAACTTAAACAATTTGTGTTGGAACAACATATAGAATTGTGTGGAACTCAACATTTTTTTCAGTGTACTGTACACTTGAAGCCACACTACAAAGGGAATTTAGGGGCAAAAGTCCAAAGAAATTCAACAAGTACAACACCCAATGAAAACATAAATACACACTAAATGACTGAGGTCATTGTTTAAAATAATTTGCACACTATAAAAAATTAAGTGCAATAATTAAATGTTATTGACAGTGTAAGTTATAAATGTCCCATGCATAACCCTAATTTTTGGACTTAATTTTTCTCCCACAGCATTGACATCATCAAGTATGTGATCTACGGCATTGCTTCAGCTTTCTTCGTCTACGGTATTCTTCTGATGGTGGAAGGCTTCTTCACCAGTGGAGCCATTAAGGACCTGTATGGAGACTTCAAGATCACCACCTGCGGACGCTGCGTCAGTGCATGGGTGAGAAATCACTGGCAGCTTCATGCATTGTAATTTAGAAAAGGGCAACTGCAAAGCCACTAAGAGTAACTGCCTCACATAAAGATGGCATCGCTTTATGGGCTATAAAAGATTACAGAGTGAATTCTGGGAGTTATTCTCCACTCGTTTGTCCCAAGGGAAACATGAAAGATATTGTGTGGTTGCAGCTATTGTAATTAATTTATAGCACTGATGGCTAAACTCTGCACAGTGAAGTTTTGTTAAAGAAAATGGGATTTGACAAGCATTCTTTGCCTTCAATTAACATTTATGGGGGGGAGGGGGGGCAATGTGTTAAACCTAATAATGTATTGAAATCTTTACGATTATTTATTTATTGTATACGCTCAACTACTTCTCATTAATGGTTGAATGTGGTACAAAACAGATTTGAATGTTTCCATGTTCACTTTTTACAGTATTGATATTTTATTTTGAATTATTATATCATTGCATTATGGGTGGTGCAGTGGATAGCACTATCGCCTTACCGAAAGATTTGGGTTTGAGCCCCGGCTGGGTCAGTTGGTATTTCTGTGTGGAGTTTGCATGTTCTCCCCGTGTTCTCATGGGGTTCCTCCGAGTGCCTCGGTTTTCTCCACAAGTCCAAAGACATGCGCTATAGGTGAATTGGGTAAGCTAAATTGTCCTTAGTGCATGTGTGTATGTCCTGGTCCCCCAGGTTGGGGGTTGAGTGTTGGGCTAACGACCCACCTCGTAAAAAATAGATGTTATGAAACACCAACATGGTGCGGCTAAATATCAACTTCGATATAAACGGCCCTGAGATTAAGTATATCATTGCATTAAATCAATGAGAACATTTGAAAACATTGAATTAATGAAATGTGATGAAATTCATATCAATTTATAAAGCAGAATTACTCATTAACTGTCCAAATTTATGAAACATTTCTAACAAAACAATATAAAAATAACTAAATGACCCTAAAAAGGTTTCAAACATAATAAATGAATTTAAATTGCACAAACATTTAATTTCATATATGTATCTCCAAAATGAATAAAACACATTTTTGTTTCATTAATGGTTACATAAATGTATACAAAATTGAACAGAAAAAAAAAACTGCTTACTTTCTTACTAAAATAAAGCTTTTTTATTACGCTGGAAAAAAGCTTTCATTCATCCAATAAAAAAATAGGGTAATTAGGGTAATGGTTCACATCTTAATTTTATATAACCTGGTACAAAGCATATTTGTCTTGTTGAAGAGAGTCAATTCATTTAAATTCTCTTTTTGTTCTAAAAAAAAAGATATAGCTTTAATCAAAACAATTCCCATAAAACGTTCATTTATCCAACTTAAAAAAAATAGGGTAATGGTTTTACATCTAAATTTAAACACTTGAGCCAATGAAAAATAAAGAATTTGCCTTAAGGAATATATTTAAGTCCATGAAAGTACAAAGCAAATTGAGCTTTTGTTTAATACGCAAGCACTGGCCTGTTTGAGTAACCTTCAAATTTTACATTGGACAAACCAAATATTTCCTAGTTGAGTTGAACTCTTGATCAAAAACATTTATATTCAACTATGTTTTGAACTTAAAATATATTAACTGAAAAATTATACAAATAATATGAAACTGAAACGAAAGACAGATTTTTAATCTTAAAAAAAAGTTCAACAAAGACTGTGACTCAATGATGACACTGATTTATTAACAATTTATTAAATCTGTTTTATTTTTCTGCGTTGCTTGGTACAGTAATCTGAGTTTGTCAAATAAGAACAGGTTAAGAATCCTTGTGAAGGTGGCAGGCAAAGTTATCGGTTTTAACCAAATTGGTCCAAAGGTAATTTACCATAATTATGTTTTAAAGAGAGCTCAGGGTAACCTCTGCACCCCCGGATCACCCATTGTGTATCAGCTGCTGCCATCAGGGCAGATAGAATTAGAAATTCCTTTATAATGGTGGCCATTAGGTCATTAAATGAGTCCGGGGGGAGGGAGATGCACCTACAAAATGATGTATTGTATGTTGTGTGGTAATATTTTGTTAATGTGTACATGGAACTTCGCCTGTGTAAGGGCACCTTGCTGCAATTTTAGTTTCTCTAAATGAGATAATAAAGTGGAGTCTGAGATAAATTTTTAATTACATGAAATACTGCTTGAAATTTTTTTCTGTGTACCTTATATTAAACAAAAATGTCGGCACCAATAGACTAGGGGTTAGTGCGTCGACACATAGCACCGAGGTGCTCACAGTGACCTGAGTTCGATTCCCAGCTCAAAGTCCTTTGTCGATCCTTCCCCTATCTCTGCTCCCCACTCTTTCCTTTCCGTAAATCTTCACTGTCCTATCAATAAAGATGATACAAAATAAATAAATAAATAAATAAGCATAAGTAAATAAATAAAACTTGTTTTATTTATCCAGATCAAAATGGAATTGAATGTTTTATTAGGAATAAACAAAATTAACTACCTACTTCTACTATCAATCTATACTTAAATCATTATTATTTTAATGGCTTTGTAAAGTATACAAAACATGATCGTGTATTAAAAATATTTACATTGCTCAGCATAATTGAGTACACATTTTGAAAATGAATATTTTTATCCATTACTCAGGTAATATAGGCAATGTATTTTGGTGCATTTATAGATTTATTCAACAGATATATTTATTAAAGTAATATTTTAGTCACCAAACATATTTAGAAATTGAAAAATTCTATTAAATTCAAGCTAAATAATGCAAAAAATCTAACATATGAATTACTTTTTTATATATATTACTAGTTTTTGGACATTTATTGTAAGTTATTTAGTTAGATAAGGTCCAGATTTGGCTTCAGTACTGACTGATCTAATGTAACTAATGCACAAATATAATATTGCATAGCTTCCTGTTAAAAATATGAACTTGAAGATTGTTATGAAGATTTGTTATGAAGATTTGTGAGGGGTGTACTTATATATGCTGAGCACTGTATGCATTACATTTAAGTCATCATGAGAAGCAAACATATTCATTTCTTTATGCCTTTAATTGTGCTTTAAATAAAATTTGACTATATTGTAAATGATATTCTCATTTGATATTCTCATGCAATTTGTTTGATTTTGCAGTTCATCATGCTGACGTACATCTTCATGTTGGCTTGGCTTGGTGTGACAGCATTCACCTCTTTGCCTGTCTTCATATATTTCAACATCTGGACCATTTGCCAAAACACCACTGTTCTGCAGGGAGCGAGTTTATGTCTTGACCCGCGCCAGTTCGGTATGTTACATAAACGGAGAGTTTTCTCTGCCAGATGTTTATTTGTGTTCAGCTGTGCGTGGAAAGAAATTCCAGCGATTCATTTTAGTTGCTGTAATTAGATTCAGTCTTACTGGTAGTCCTGCATTCCTATAACCTCATATACTCCGAATGCTTTTGAGGACTGACAGAGACTGTTTATTTTAGGTGTTGTGCCCATCGGAGAGGAGAAGACTTTATGCGTAGGATCAGAAAACTTCTTCAAAATGTGTGAATCAAATGAGGTGAGCAAACAGAACATTATGAAGCTATTATAATTACATCTCTTTTTTGTTGTTAAAATGCTTGCTGGAACTTTTGACGCACGATATAATATTATCACAAATTTAAAATAAGCTGCAAAAATATTTAACACTTTTTTTAGCATATATATTTATTATTTAGTACGTTTGTACAATATTTAGCAGTAAAATCTATAATGTAATTTGTAATTATATAGTGCATTTATCGTGTATGACCATACAGCCAAAGCACTTAACAGTCATGAGAGGGGGGTGGGGTCTCTCCACACCACCACCAGTGTGCAGCATCCACTTGGATGATGCGACGGCAGCCACAGGTCACAGCCACAGCTCTCCACGCACCAGCTGTTGGTGAAGTGGAGAGACAGTGATAGAGCCAATTCGTTGGATGGGGATGATTGGGAGGCCATGATGGGTAAAGACAGATGGAGAGAATTTGGCCAGAACATCAGGGTTACACGCCTACTCTTTACGAGAAGTGCCATGGGATTTTTAATGGCCACAGAGAGTCAGGACCTTGGGTTAACGTGTCATCCGAAAGACGGTGCTCACTGACAGTATAGTGTCCCCTTCACTGGGGCATTAAGACTCACACAGACTGCAGTTTGAGTGCCCTCTGCTGGCCTAATTAACACCACTTCCAACAGCACTAACAAAATATTAGACATTTGTTTATGTATAATATGAAAACATAGTACTTTTTGTTTGTTTTTCTTTATTGGACACAAATGTTCAGCGTAAACAGTCAACAGTAGGAAACAGCAATAATTGTTACATAAGTTGTTGATGTTCTGATGATCTTTAAATGTATTAATTATTAGCTCTGTTAAATAAAACAGATGCACATTTTGATTTGAATGAGTTATTAAACATTACCTAAGAAATTAGCATCATAATGTAGTCATTTTCAGGATTAGCTTAGTGTAATTGGTAACATGTATTAGTTAATTGACTAATATGAACAAACAATGAATAATACAATCATTACAGTATTTATTCATCTTTAGGTAATAAAACTCTTGTGGCAGTAACTAATTTTAACTTTGTATTATTAATGAATTAGTCAATGTAAACTATTATAATACCATACAAGTATTGTTTAATCTTAGTTAATGTTAGTAAATACTTAACTAACATTAGCTGATGGTTGTACAGTGTGACAATTTAATTTATTAACTGTTTACAAACAGAACTTCAATCAATATCTATGATCAAGTGAAAATGTTTGTATTTAAAAGAATATCCTATTAACCCAGCAAGCGTTTTTTGTTTTTCAAAAGATGTCTAATAGATGTCTAATAGGCGTCTAAGCATAGTCGTCTTGACCAAAACAAGGCTAAATTTGAGCTGCCAGTAAAAATCTAATAGACATCTAAAATAGGCTAAAACTAGACTAGTTATCAAATAAACAGAAATGAATGACTACACATATAAAGTCTGTCTATTTGACGACTAGTCTAGTTTTGGCCAATTCTTAGATGTCAATTAGATTTTCACCGTCTCAAGTTTAGCCTTGATTTTACCAAGCTGACTACATTAAATGATGTATTTCAGACGTCTATTAAACACAAAATTGTTTGCTGGGAAGTCTTCAAAAGGCACTCCAAAACTTAAATAAGAAATACTCATTCACTAATATTTTGAAGTGCTCAAGATAACATCATGCATGTTGGTTATCACAATATACCCTAAACTGTAAAAAAGTAAATGATTCAACAAAAAGCAAATATTTTTATATTACTTTAATACATTACTCAGGATTCAACTTTTTTTTTGTTAAACAGTTTAATCTCATAACTTTAGTCAGTTTGATTGATGCAAGTTTAGATGTTTAGTTGATTCAACTAAATAATTTAGGCAGCAAAACAATTGTACAGTGTATAACTGAATATCAGCACATATGTACATGTGCAGAAGAAAAATACATTCACAAAAGACAATTTTTTCAAGTCATTATAAAGATCAAGCAGCACAAGATTCATTTTACTTTTTTTTCCTGAAAGCTGGACATGACCTTCCATCTGTTTGTGTGTGCGTTGGCTGGAGCCGGAGCAGCAGTCATTGCCATGGTGAGTTTGATTACTCCTTACAATTATAGACCCAGTATATTAGCTGTGAAGTTAGTTTTATTTAGGGGTAAAAAGCAGTTTGAATTGAAATGCCTGAGCTTTTCTCTCGCTCAGAAACATAATAAAAATCATAAACTAAAATGACCTCGGTGGCATCTGATAATAGCGATGTGGATGTTTCGGAAATTTGGCCCTGGTCAAGACATCAAAAATCATTTATACTGCTGTAGTTTTTTGAAGGAAGCAGCCTTGCAATATTAAACACAAAAACAGTGCCATTGTTGCTCTCACTTAGAATTACTCTGTAGTTTCTGCTATAAAGCAGAAGTGTTTCTGTTTTTACTCTTGGTTGTCTGACTTTGGCAGACTGAAGAGGAGAAATTAACTGAAGATGATTTAAAAGTCTCATGTTTACTTTCCATAAGCTTGACTTTGGCAAGCTGTTTTGAGCTTCTGAAATTAACCTGAGTAATGCGAGAGTAGAATTTAGTTTGAAGTATACCTGCTCTTTATGCTGCAGAAGTTCACATTGAAGAAACACCAGGCGCCAATAACTTAATAATTAGGTACATTTTGATTTAGAAATAATTATGTACCTTGTGTAACATTGATTTAATGACAAATAAATGCTAAAGAAAATTAAGTCTATTTACTATATAATATGGTACAATATTAAGCTGACATACAAAAGAAGAATGAACATACATTACTAATCATGTTTTTGAGTTTTAAAAAAAAGTTAATATTTGTTTTATTCTAAAAGATCCAGCATTCTTGCAAAATTCAAGTGAAAAACAATGATTTAGTTTCTTACTTTTTTTGTAATTGTGTGGTAAAAATGACAACATTATTTTACACTTGGAAGAAATCATCCATAACTTACAGAATAAATAAAAATGTAACTCTAACACAAGTACACTACCTGACAAAAGTATTCTCATCAATCCCAGTTTTAAGAGCAACAAATAATAACTTGACTTCTAGTTGATCATTCGGTAAAATGGCAAAAGGTCGATTTTTCTGATGAATATTCTATTAAACTGCATCCCAATCATCACTAATACTGCAGAAGACCTATTGGAACCCACATGGACCCAAGATTCTCACAGATATTAGTCAAGTTTGGTGAAGGAAAATCATGGTTTGGGGTTACATTCCAAACCACAGGAGAGGGCAAATTCCACAGCATAATAGCACTTATACTTCTGCCTCCACATCAAAGTTCCTGAAAGCAAAGAAGGTCAAGGTGCTTCAGGATTGGCCAGCCCAGTCACTGGACATAAACATTATTGAGCATATCTGGGGTAAGTTGAAGGAGAATTGCATTGAAGATGAATCCAAAGAACCTTGATGAACTCTGGAAGCCCTACAAAAACACTCTTTGCCATTCCAGATTTGAGTCACTGCAGAGATATATGGATGCAGTCCTCCAAGCTCATTGAAGTCATACACAATATTAAATCTCTTTTCACTGCACTATGGCTTTATATTCTATACTGGATATTATTTCTGTTCAGTAACAAGACTTTTGTCTAAACAAAGTCAGACCTTACTGTCCTAATTAAATACTTCAAAATAAAGGCATGGTCATATTTTATTTTGGTAAAACAAGCGTAATCTAGAGGCCTTTGCTTTTCATATAAGCCACATTTGATATCAAATGATCAACCAGAGGTCAAGTTATCATTTGCTGTTCCTAAAACTTGAATAGGCGGCAAGACTTTTGTCAGGTAGTGTATACACTTTAAATCTAGACAAATTTAGACTATTTTTGATTTTAATATTTTAAATTGTCTCTTTTTTTAAGTGATAAATTTGTTACAACAAATGATTCAGTTGCTTGCTTATTTGTGAAAACTGCACAATAAATAACACATTAAAAAAATTAATGCAGTTCATTAAAAAAATTATCTTCAAAATAATTGAAATCGTTTTCACAAAAGTCCTAAAGCCAAAAAAAAAAAAAAAAAAAATGTGAATTTCCCAGTTTTGAAGCTAGCAACAGTGTGTATATTTGTGTGACAAAGATGAAGATGTGAGCTGAATTAATGACATCACCTGCTTCAGCTCCTTCATGTGGATCAGGGTTAAAGTCATGAATCACTGTCACTGCTCTCCCAGGGCATTCTGGGGGGGAGAAAAAATTGAGCATTAGGGGCGTTGTCGACTCTTTCTCATTGGCTTTCCTTCTGTTGTTATTTAACATCATCCTTTTATCTTTGAGCTTGTTTTCGTTTTCCTCCCTCCCTTCTCTCTCTTTCTCTCATCTCGCACACACACACACACACACACACACACACACACTGAGAGACGCTGGGCATGTCGTTTTGTAGTCATGGAAACTGGGAGAAGAAAGGCCCTAGAGCTTGTACAAGCAGCGCTCAGTAATTTGCGAGGAACCATTTTCTGAAAAAGAGAATGTGGATGTTAGTCTGGGATGATGTAGCAAATTATAGAAAGAGCTTTTCCATTCCCTGCTGTGAATAGAGCAAATTTAACTCCATGTTAAACACAATGTGTCCTCAGACTTCAGCCTTCCTTTTGTTAGGAGAAAAAAAAATAGGGTGTGGCCCTATTCAAATGAGCATGCATAATGTAGATCTCATTTGCATAATGGGGCATTGAAGCAGAGCTGCATGATTAATTGTTGAAATATCACAATCCCATTTAAAACTTCTGCTGATTTTAGACTTTAATCACAAATACATCATTAAATCTGCATTTGATTCAGAGAGTATTTGTCATTTATGGTTATGAAACCTCTTATAATCTTTTCGCTCACTTTTTTTAAGGTACAATTTTCAATCAGAATCAGCTTTCTTAGTCATTTCACCTGACTGCTCTGTTGACAGCAGAAAAGACTGGAAAGAAACACAAAATCAGAGTTGACTAAATAATGCAGCACCACACAAAATTGAGAAGAAACCTGAAACTGAATGATTTAGAAGCATTTTTGACATTAAGATGAAATGTTAAACTTTACATTGTTGACAAAGAAACAGGAACTAAAAAATGTGCAATATTAAATGTGAAATATTTTTATTTGTGTATAAATAGTCAGTGAAACATTTATCAGAGTTTATTAAACTCATTTGCTCATTGTCTGTTTTCTTTTAAAGTCTTTACATTTGATATTAAACCTTGAAGGGCAAGTACTTAATTTAATTCATGGGGCATATAATTCAATAAAAATAGTTCAGTAGTTCATATAAAGCTTAAAATTCAATACATTTTACCATATTAGTTACAGAAAATAAACAGCTGCACTGGATAAAATTAGCACAACGTTGTATGCTTAATTTGAAAAAGAAAAATTATTAATCCTAAAGCATTTAATAAATGTTATAGAAAGCAAAATTTTTACTTTCTCAAGCATCAACATGTTGTTACAACACCAATTTTGATTGTTTTGTGATTGTATTTGTTGCAAACTAATGCTGCAATTAATGACCTGCCAAATACCAGATAAGAAGGAACCTTATAATTCCAAGCAGAAAATGTCCTTTTTAGATAAGACGGTTCTATCTGCATTTGCCCTGTTTGTTTGACCCCAATTTGCAAATTTTATAGAATTTTGATAATTTACATTTAGAGAACATTTAGGGTCTCTGTCATGTTAATGTATGAAAAAGAAATGTTACACACATATTGTTTGCTATATGGAATGCAAAAAACTTTGAAGCTCAATATCTCAAAATCATTCCGAACGCAGATAGAACCTTATAATTCCAAGGTGATGAAATGGTCAGAGTTTCATTGAGAATTACCAAAACAAACTTCTTTCAAGTGTATTAACTTGCTTGGACAAATTGTTTACAAATTTACAAACTTAATACACTGGTTTTAAATGATTGTTATTTTTTAAATTTTGCACCTTCTTCGAATGTTATCACTCAATTGAATGGACGTTATTAATCATCATCAGCTGATATGGGCCAGTAGGGGCCTTCTGCGCATACTGCTAGACGTCACCAATGTCCTCATATTTCACCTCCTTTTGGTAATACCTGTGTCATACCCATGTCATTATACAGATTTGTTTCCTGATATGTCACAAAAACATGTACACACACACGTAAATCCTACGCTAAGTTACACAATGAAACGTAGAATAGGGGTTGATGGAGATATTTTTATATATTTTTGCAGTGAACAGCAGAGACTCGTCTGAGGAGTCTGGCTGCTTCACACTGCTGCCTCCTGCTGGTGTCACTGCTAATAATAGAGTGACAAACATGCGTCATCACAGTCTGCTGTGAACACACCGAGATCTGTCTCTCTTACTCCAAATACACCTGAGAACAATGTCTGTCTGTCTGTCCGTCCGTCCGTCCGTCCATCCATCCATCCATCCATCTATCATCCATCCATCCATCCTCTGTCTGTCTGTCTTACTATCTGTCTGTCCACATATCTGTCTGTCTTCACCAAACTTGAAATAAATTGCTTCTATAGGTGCAAATGAATAGTTTCCTTTTTCTGTCATTTATAATTTGGTTGCAATTTGCAATGCTTCATGGGATTGTAGTTCTTTCCCTCGTTAAAGCTAAGCACAGTGTTGTTGTTTTACATTTGTTCCTCTGTCTGATTTTTATATAGTAATTTGCATTCAAAGATGGTAATTTAAATCCCTATTGGGAAAAAATAATGTGAGAAACATTTACAGAACCAGAACTGCTTAAAAAATGAACAGGCACTCAATGGCCTACATTCAGGTTAACAATAATATATTTTCTTAACATAATGCGGCTCTATATGCAGGGGAATTACAAGGGGGATTGACCCCCCTTATTAATGCTTGATTCTCTCCTGAAGGACGTCAGTACAAGATATATGGGGGGTTCAGCCCTTTAATTTTCAGAAATAGTTTCATCTGATCTGCATCTTAAGTAATTCATTCATTCATTCATTCATTTTCTTGTCGGCTTCTCTGGGAAACATCCACACACACACACACACACACACACACTCATACACTACAGAAAAATTTTGCCTACCCAATTAACTTGTACCGCATGTCTTTGGACTGTGGGGGAAACCGGATGCAGAGAGAACATGTAAACTCCACACAGAAACGCCAACTGAGCCAAGGCTCGAACCAGCAACCCAGCGACCTTCTTGCTGTGAGGCGACAGCACTACCTACTGCGCCACTGCATCGCCCCATCTTAAGAAATAATATTAATAATTAAAATAATGCATAATGTAAATCTACATTTGACCACCCCTATAACGGTTCATACCAATCTTAATGCATAATTGCACCAATCAGTCTATGCAGGAAAATATTCAATTAGTTTGAAACTGGCAGATGTAAAGCACCGATAGACATTGTGAGTGTTTATGAGACACTTTTATCAAAAAATAGGTGTTTGTATCTACATAAAACATAAAAGTTGTCAAGTTAGATGCATAGTTTAACTCTAAAATAGCTAATCTGTAGGTCAGAATACGCTAAACATCCCTCAAAACACTGAAAACTTAAAATACATTTGATTAATATATTAAATAAATATATAAATTATTTTAAACATTACTAAAAAAGTTTGAACGCCAGTGTAAGATTTGCACCCTATATATTTAAATAATTATAATAAAAGACGTTTTATGAGTGTGTTTTATAAGAAGAGTTGTATTGCAGTAACATGAATGCAAATGATTACTTCATACTAATTCACAAATACTGTTTTTTTTTTCTTTTTTTTTCAGATCCACTACCTGATGGTTCTGTCTGCCAACTGGGCCTATGTGAAGGATGCGTGTAAAATGCAGAAATACGAGGATTGCAAGTCCAAGGAGGAGCAGGAGCTGCATGACATCCACTCCACACGCTCCAAGGAAAGGCTCAATGCCTACACATAAGACAGGAAGCAGCAGCGAGGCGAGAGGACCCTCAGTGCTGTCACTTCCTGTTGAGGGAGTTTTGGCACTGGTAAAGTCCAGGTGGTGTGTCGTATGACCAACCCCATGGCCAACCCATTACCTCTCGCACAAACATTATTATTATTATTATTATTATTATTATGATTATTATTAGTGATAGAAGTAGTGTTGTAGTTTTTTCACATTGTTGTGTTTCATTTTTTTCAAGAATCTGTGCAGGTTCGGTTCCACGACATGTTGCAATTTTTTCAAAATATTTCTCTTTTTAAACTCATTTTAAGCATCGATACATCAATCATTCTTATGTAGAGGGTCGGTTATTGGGGTGAAAAAAAGCACATTTTTCATGTGTGTCTGTCTCATTATTAAGGACTTAAAAGCATGAAAAAAAAAGAAATTTTGGTAAAAATGAAATGAATAATTCTTTCTTTCTCTTTCTCTCTCTCTCTCTCTCTCTTTCTATCATTAATTTTTTTAATCATCAAAAGGTATAGAGCCTGATACCAGCAGATGACCTGCTCATTCTGCGTTATTTTGGTAAAAGAAAACTCAAAAAACTGAGGCAGAAAAGACAAAAAACAAAATTAAGATATAACAGATGTACCATAAAGTGTTTATTTATTATTTTTCTACAGATGTCATTGCATAGCTTATCAAGATGATTACAAGATGACAGAATGGTTATTATTTGCTTGCCGTGCTAATTCAGACACGCATAGTCCCAGTAGGTGGCATTGTAACTGCTCTGAGAGGGAGAGCAACCTTCTTACTACTTTTTGATAGATGGTGAAGTCCAAAGTATACAGAGTTTGTTTTGAACACATTTGTTAGAATGCAAAATTGCTGCCTTTCAAAGTGTACTCCATTTGACAGTGTACCCAAACACAGGTGCTTTATCACTGGTAAAATGAATTTGAACGCGTTTAAATTAGTGTGTATCTTCAGATGATACACTTGTCAACACTAGTGTCCATTGTTTTTGCAGTCTCAGTAGTTTGCTGGTGTTGTTTATTATGTATATCCCCTCTCACAAGCACTTGTCGATGTTGGCGTGAGTTGTTTATTCCGCCCTTCAGTAGTTTGCTGGGGTTTTTTTCTGACCGTGAATCAACAGCCCAGTTCAATGTTGACACCTTGTGGACAAACTAGGTAGTGCAAAAACAATTCAAAGCACATGTGAGTGCATTGTCACATTTGCTGTACATGTAAAAAGTGAAGTATACTTTGGGATTAAGCCCTTTTCTGCATTCTATTCCATCACAGCTTTCGAAGTATTAGCTACACTTGCGTCATCTCAAAACTACCATAATTTCGAGACTATGACATGCTATCCTGAGCTGTTCACACATTCACAGACTTGGAATTATGCATTTTTTATGACAGCTTTATTAAAGCCTAACCAAACTCAAATCTTTGGCATAGCATGTTCGTTATAGCACTTAAGACGTAAGCGCTTTCTTGTGAACTCGTTCTGTCTCTGCATTCGCCATCTGTGTGGTCAAACAAAAATAAAAGAGACAAAGTCATCTAATAATAAAAATGACATCACTTTGACTGGAAATGAAGATGGCTGAAGTATACTTTGGGCTTTAAGCATTAAATTAAGCCCAATCTCACTGGAAAACGTACCTATTTTACGTATTGCCAAAAAGGTGGCTAATTCGTACAATGTCCATTCTTTAAAAGGTACGATTTTTTTCCAAATAACGCTCACTCCTAACTACTAACTCATTAGGAGCGTGACTAAATTGTATTAAAACATACAAGTTGGCATTGTAAGAATTAGCCAGTAAAGTAAAATAGTTACAAATTGCTACAGAATTGCGCTGTTTATTTATTTAAATCGTACAATAGTATGAACGACCCCCTCTCTCTTCGGCAAACAATGCAACTCCCCCTTAACTGGAAGCAAGCGACACAAGCACAAGCCTACAGCGTTATAACCCCCTCTTTTTTATTTTCCTATACAAATAGATATAGACACAGGGTTTGTTTGTTTTTATTTGACGCGTTTTATTTCCAGCTTTTGTACATAGTCATTCTGTAAATGTATGTACTGTACGTTAGCACTTAAAAACTTCAGGTGAATTCGTAATGGATTAAAAAGAATAAAACACACATTCCATGATGGGATAGGATGGGAGGGGGGGGCGGAGGGAGGGTGTTCTTCTTAAAACCTAAGAAAAATAATGTTAAAAAAGACCAAGGAGAAGCGAGGCTATCGTGAACAGATCACTGGGCTGTTTTCTTTCCAAAGGAGGAAATGTGAGGATGAAAAGGAATATTTAAAGAGCTTATACTACTATTATCTCGATGACAGTTACTCGTTGTCTTGCTAACAAGTCATTATTATATCGGACGATGGAGACGTCTTCTCTTTCTTTTAATGCCTGGCAAGTCATGTTCTGTCAGTGTTTCTAAGAGCTAGTTTTGTGCACTTATTTGACCATTTTGTGAGCTCTTTCTTGGTGTAAGTGCATCGGGGCACCGGCTTTGTCAAGTCAGACCCCTGTAATGTTAGGTAAAGACTGTGAACCTAAGTGTTATTTGTGGCATGGTCATGCATTCAATGGTAATCGTTTTACTGGATCAAAAAATAAATAAATAATAATGATGATAATAATAATAATGGAGAAAAAAAAATCAAAAGAAGAAAAAAAAAACAAGATAAACAGTTTTCATTTCATCTTTTTATGAGTTTGTTCTATGCGACTGTCTTGCTGGGTCATCCCCTTCCTCATAACGTGCAGTAATTTGAATCCTACGCTGAAAAAACATTGCGCTGAAACTCCTACTCTTCGATGGTAGTGTTTGATTTGTGCCTGTTTACTTTGTGGTGATCTCTCTAACTCCTCCTCTCACCTTTCTATTACTATTGCTTGTTGAGCCCCTGACTTTAATGCTTTCTCTGAACCCTCACCTCTCTCTCTCTCTCTCTCTCTCTCTCTCTCTCTCTCTATCTCTTACTCTGGCTCACTCTCCCTGTCCTCGTATACTAGTCTTTTTTGTACTCTCACTAAAGAATGCTTAGTAGCAAGCTGTACCATTAATTTGTTTTGTACATAAATGTGCCAACCGCTTGACAGTGGCTTTTCTGATCTGTAGGGACAAACTGCTTGCATAAATAAACTACACTGGTGTACTTGTTAATAAATACTCGACGGTGGTTGTTGTTCTTAATGGTCTGTGTAGCATGTTTGGTGTTATTCACTTCACTTCATACACGCTAAACTCTTTACGGCAGTTCACTTTAATAGAACAAAATGGGTTTGCGCAAGTAATAAGTAAAAAAGAGCTGTTTATGTTTTATTATATATTATGTGTCATTTTTTTCTGTATATGGCAAAACAACCATCATCTTCAGTGTTCATATGATGCTTTAAAAATAATTTCAGCATGCCATTTTATTGATTATTTTAATTTATTTATTTTATGATAATTTATTTTTAACTGTATTTTTTGATGAATAGAAAGTTCAGAAGGACTAATGAAAACAAAAGGGAATCAGATTGACTGTATGTATCCTTGTGGAACAATAAAATAATTAAATAAAGCTTTTTTTTTTTTACTTTACTGATGCCAAACTTTTGGCACTAGAATGTAACTACTGGCTGGTAATTTTCTTTTGAACCACATGGAGGCAATCTACTAAAGAACATCTCTCTTTGGAGCACTGAAACAAACTTGGTATGTAGTCCTTATCTACATGGCTTCGGTTGCTTAAACCTGAAATATGTCAATCCCATTAGAATTTATCTTTTTTTTTCTTTTTTTGTAATGGAGATCAAGCTTGGAAAATAGCATGAAAAAGTCATAAAGAAAAGAAAATTATAAATAAATAAATAAATATATATATATATATATATATATATATATATATATATATATATATATATATATATATATATATATATATATATATATATATATATATAATAAATAATAAATAATAAAATAATAAGCAGTTTCAAAATAATCTTATTATAAACAATTATTCAATAATTATAATTAAATATATCAAAATATAACACAATAATATAATTAAATAACATTCAAATAAATGCATTCTGAATTATTTCTCTTTCCCTCTCACTATATGCAGTTAAAGTCAGAATTAATAGCCCCCCTTTTTCTTTTTTAAATATTTCCAAAATGATGTTTAACAGAGCAAGGACATTTTTACAGTATGTCTGATAATATTTTTTCTTCCAGATAAAGTCTTTTTTGTTTTATTTCGACTAGAATAAAAGCAGTTTTTATTTTTTTTCCTTTTAAATTATGATCAAAATTATTAGCCCTGTTAAGCTAGATTTTGTTGATAGTTTACAGAACAAACCATCATTATACAATAACTTGTCTAATTACTCTATCCTGTCTAGTTAACCTAATTAACCAAGTTGGGCCTTTAAATGTCACTTTAAGCTGTATAGAAGTGTCTTGAAAAGAATCTAGTAAAATATTATTTACTGACATCATGGCAAAGATAAAATAAATCAGTTATTATAGATGAGGTATTAAAACTATCATGTTTAGAAATGTGTTGAAAAAATCTTCTCTTCATTAAACAGAAATTGGGGGAAAAAATAAACGGGTGGGGTGGTGTGGGGGGGCTAATAATGCAGGGGGTTTAATCCAATCTGATTGCAACTATATAAAATACAATTGGGTGTCAACTGACTGTATTCAGTGCCAGCCATCCAAAGGCAAAACAGTTGGCCACCTAGGGCCCCACCTTTCATGGGCCTCGTGGACACCTCTTCAACTAATTTATTGGGATCATGACGGTGTCTGAAGCAAAGAGCCAAATAGTATGTCTGAAATGTCAAAATAAATAAAAGTGTAATTTTGTGGAAACAAAATGATACATAAATAAGAAATAAAATGTAAAATACTGTTATAAAAACTAATATACATGTATACACACATGTAACGTGGGGTTGGGGTTCTTCGTAGGGGTTGGACAATTTAATGCCTGGCTAAATTTGACCAGCCTGGTGGCCAATCTTCATTGATTGCAAATTCCACCAGTAAAGCTGCGGTCACAGTAGAGTTTGAGCTTGCGCAATTCTGTAGTATGAAGCTGCAAAAAGGAGCGGGAACAAGATGATTAGGCTTTTAAAAAGTAAGCGATTGGTCCATGGTTTAAATTCCTGTCCAGAGAGGTCATGTTTTAATCCTCGATTGGTCTCACGCAGTCAAGTGATGCGATTTCACAGGTCAGAGTTCACCAAGCTTGAACTTTGCAACACAGCGAACTGCAAAATTTGTCGCACGAGCTTGCATTTCCAGTCTGACGCATTCACGTGCGTATGAATGGAAGTCTATGGGGAGAAAAGTGCAATGTGACCACAGCTTAAGAGCAGAGCATGAAGGTTTAATTATCTGAGTAATAGCAGTTTTGCTTAAAATATTGCAATGCACATAACATTATGGGTGACATATCAGAATTCAAATAAGGACAAATTGTTTGTGCGCATCTCACTGGTGCATCTGAGACCAAGACAGTAAGTCATTGTGATGTAGCAATAGCCACAGTATCCAGGGTAATGTCAGCATACCACCAAGAAGGACGAACCACATTGAACAGGATTAACTGTGCATGCAAGAGGAAGCTGTCTGAAAGGGATGTCCTGGTGCTAACACAGATTGCATCCAAAAAACACAAAACCACAGCAGCCCAGCCCAGTTATAGCTAAACCTTTGGTCACTTGTGCCAAGGGTAAATGTTAGTTTCAATGGTGCCAGCAGTGAAAATCTTGGGCTGTGGACAATCTGAAACATGTATTGTTCTCTGATGACTCTTCATTGTCTTTCCCACATCCAGGGGAGTTACGGTGTGGAGAACCCCCAAAAAGCATAGCACCAAGACTGCTGCATGCCCAGAGTAAGGCATGAATCAGTGATGGTTTGGGCTGCATTTATCATTGCATTTCCTACGCCCAAAACTTGTGCTAGATGGGCATGTCACTACCAAAGGCTAAACCGAACAATTCTGGTGGATTATGTGCACCCAATGGTTCAAACATTGTATCTGGAAGGTGGTGTCATGCAAGATGATAATAGTGCACCAATACACAAAGCAAGACTGGTGATGGAGTGGTTTGAAAAACATGAAAGTGATGTTGAACATCTCCCAAGGCCTGCACAGTCACCAGATATAAATATGTTTGAGCCACTTTGGGGTGTTTTAAATGAATGTGTCAGAGAAACGTTTTTCTTCATGGACCGGCCAATATTCTGCAAGACAAATGTCTCAAATCCCTCTGGAAACTGTGCAGGACTCATTCCAAAGACGAACTGATGCTGTATTGGGTGCTACATCTTATTTATTGTGGTCTAAAACCAGGCGTTTAGTTTCATTGTTTACACTCTAAAAAACGCTGGGTTGGTTTTTTAACCCAATTGCTGGGTTGAGACTGCTGGGTAACAATTTTGGGTTGATTTAACCCTATTTGGGTTGAAAATCGGTCTTGATCTATAACCCAGCAGTGCTGGGTTGGGAACAACGACGTGAAAAAGCACGCACGTGACGTCAACGTCCAGACAGGCAGGACATCAGCGTGACCAACCGCCATTTTCTCTGTGCCGTCTTTAGAGGGAAGCAAGCAAAATTCTGTCTGAAGAGTAAGTTATTCGGTGTGTATTTAACAATGGTCATACGAGATAACACGTTAAGTTTACTGTATAATACATATATATGCTTTTTTTTATCTAACGACTAAAAAGAGACGGCCGTGCTTCGCCCTTGTCGTCTTGACGAGAAAGCGCGCGCCAACATCGTCGTCTGAAGGAGCTTGGAAAAGATAAGGTAAACATTTTAATATTACTTTTGTATATGTTAAAGCTATTGTGTTGGATATGGTTTTGATACAGTGTTCACTTAAGTTATGGGTTAAAATCGGTCTTGATCTGTAACCCAGCAGTGCTGGGTTGGAAACGCATACGTGAAAGAGCGCGCACGTGACGTCACCGTCCAGGCAAGCAGGGACATCAGCGTGAGCAACCGCCATTTTCTCTGCCGTCTTTAGAGGGAAGCAAGCGAAATTCTGTCTGAAAGGTAAGTTATTCGGTGTGTATTTACCAATGTTCATACGAGATAACACATTTAGTTTCCTGTATAATACATATATACGCTTTTTTTTACCTAACGACTAAAAAGAGACGGCCGTGCTTCGCCTCACAGACGACCTTGTCGTCTTGACGAGAAAGGGCGCGCCAACATCGTCGTCAGAAGGAGCTTGGAAAAGATAAGGTGAACATTTTAATATTACTTTTGTATATGTTAAAGCTATTGTGTTTGTACAGGTTCACTTAAATAATTTTGTCAGCATATCCACGTACATTCCCGCTCTGCTTGTAAGGTAACGTTACATTTCGCTGAACTTAAGGGCTGTCAAAATTAAGTTAATTGTTTCGTGGATGCAACGTGACCGCCAGTACGTTATTTAAAACACTTCATCTAACCTTACTTAAAACGCAGAGACTGCACAATTTGCTGTGTGTGTGTGTGTGTGTGAACCCCTACAGTGTCGAGATATATCCAGCTGCAAGCCCGCAGAACCACACACGTTTTAGGCACACACAATCGAGGACACACAATTTATGGTTTCCCATTTCATTATGGTTTCCCATTTCAGTCATTATTATTATTATTACATCACGATCATTTTAACATCTCTACAGTTTCTGAACTCGAATTATGTAAATAAAAATAATTGGTTAAAGACACTTATGACTTTATTCATGTGTTCATATACAAAGAAAACATAGACCGTCTATTTGTTGGATTAAGTGTAATAAACTAATTCAATATCTTACTATAATCATACTTGATTAAAATCACTTTATTGTAAAATATAAAAAGCAAACAATAATATGTCATTTTAAAATAAATTAGCCTACTATAGTTAATAATTTAAACAATATATATATAGTTATAAACTGATTATCATAACTGATTATCTGATTATAATTATAAGTTAATATATAAACTATCTTTTACTAAACTGTCACAGCTGTTTTATATATATATATATATATATATATATATATATATATATATATATATATATATATATATATATACACACACACACTTATTTTTTATTATTAATAGTTAATTTGTTCCTATTACTACATTTTGGTTTTAAAAACAATTTTTTGCTTACTATAAATTACTACAGTATTAAATGTGGGAAATCATTAATTAAAAGATTATTAGAAAGTTAAGCAAACAAACACTATTGAATCGCTTGAGTAAAATATTAATATAGTGTTATACATTTGGTACATGTAAAGATTTTTATTACATATAATGTATTATTGCCTATATTAACTTGCTATTATTTCCTTTATCATAAATTAATCCATTATATAAATTAAACCTGTCCAAATTAGATCGTTCAGCAAGGCCAGCAAACGAGTATCTGCTATATTATTGTCAGATAATAATGACTGATCAGATATAATGAATGATTAAAAACTGTTCAGTCTATTATATTGAATGGCGATCGGAAACAATGCTCCCCTTCAGCCGTCTCGATTGCAATATTTGTGAAATAAAGTAAACGCTATCGTTTATTGTGTACAATATTTATTCATCATATATATCAAAATATATCGATGACGATGTTCAAAAAGACGTTAATCACATTAACATCCGTCGTAACCATATATGGTTTGCCTAGATTGTGTGTGCCTAAAACGTGTGGTTCTGCGGGCCTGCAGCTGGATACTATTGACTGTGTCTGTGCGTTTGCTAACGTTAGTCAGTCTTTCTGTGACTGATACAGCAGAACCCCCTCTTTCACTGCTGGAGAAAAGCTGAACGTTAAATTTAATTTCTGCTTCTCTCACTTTCCCCTTTGACCTGCTGTCGTGAGGTTTGTTATCCGGCTGTTACAGCCATTACGTGTGGATTTAAGGCATTTAAATTAGTTGCGTTTTGAATGTTTCTTTCATGATCCCGTTTTACATGTTATATCAAATAATTCGATTAATGTCATTGCGTCATCGCGCTATCCACATTTCCTCCACAGTTTCATGTTAATTTTGGGTGTTTCGTTTTTAGTTTTTCAACTTTAACTGCAGTTTGTCACTTTCACCTTTATTCTGGAACATTTCATCCTTATCACTCGTGACATGAGATATTGGATGCAACTATGAACTGCTTTAAGTGCTGTTTTAATGGAAGTTTATACCGCATGATCAATGGAAGAAAAAAACCCTCCTTTCAACATTTCACAATGCAGGTGTCTGTGGTCTGCACTGACTTGGTAACTTAATTTACTACTAACATGTTATTTCTTAAATCCTGTAAATGGTTTGATGCAGGCGGGAATCCTGAGCTCAGTTCAGGCTAAAAAAGAGTTGAAACTAAGCATGTTCGACAGCTGTTTCTTAAACACCACACCAAGAACAGTTAGAATCATTTAGGAGCTTTTCCTTTTTAATAAAATGCATTTTGAATGACACATTATCTTTTTCTATGTAGGTAATGGCAGCAAGTACTGTGATTAGTGATCTTTCTGAGGTGTAAACTGTAAAACAGTTGTATTTTTACTGTTGTGCTCCTTAAATTTATTCAATTAATTTTTTTAGGTCATTTTTGTAATAATGCATAAGTGTTAAATTCAGCTTCTCTTTTTTTTCTTTTTCTTTTTTGGTCAGAACATACTTAAAGTATTTCCTTCTATGCTTCTACAGCTGTTCATTGAATAGCAAATGTTATTCATTTACTAAGAGCATATTACATTCTACAGACATCATTTGACTTATCTTTAATTAATCCTGTACGTATGGTTAGTTTAATGCAGATGGGAATGTCTGAGCTCAGACTAAATCCAACCTAATCATCTTCGATCCCCAAAAAGAAAAGTTTGACTTCCATCTTTTGTGACACCCTGGATAATTATGATCACTTAGGAGTATTTTTGTGATAAAGTGACTTGTGGCTGAGATTATCTTTTTTACTTTATTAATATTTTGCTAAAATGCTTTTATCTGTTGGTTATTTCAGATGGATGAATACGTAAAAAACAAATTAATAGAATGGAATCTTGCAGAGTTGATCCCCAAATTTGAAGGTATGTAATAATATTTTACTTGGTTCATTGTAATCATTAGGGCTGCTCTGTCTAAAGATTTGTTTGTTTGACTTGTGATGTTCATTTGAAAAATTATTTGAATAATTACACATTTATTTATAAACCATTTAAATCATAATTAGTCTTTAATTGTCCACATTGCCTATTTTACAAGGCAAATATACATAGTTTTGGATTGGGCAGAAAGCCCATCCTGTTACTTACAGTATTTACAAAGTGCAGTGTTGTTTTTATTGTGAGTGCACACAGAAATGTAGTGTCTTCACATATCTTCAAAGGCTGTATTACTGTTATCTAAATGACCAAACATGGCAAAGAATTTAAAGAGCAAGTTACCACAAAGGTGCTGATATGCTTTCACACTCTGCACAGACATTTCCATTGTGCACATATTTCTACAGTAGCATTAGATTGAGCAGCCATGTAAAGTTGCTACTATATTGCAGATGTTAAGCCATAGCTTATTTGAGGCCGATAAGAGCATTCGAAAATTCTGCCTGATGTAGCTACTACTGCATAGATCAGCTGTTAACAATCTGCATGACTTCACCAATGTGGATTTTTTTTTTCTGCAACTAAAACATTTTGATCGACTAAAGGTTAATCAATTGTTAGGGGCAGCCCTAGTAATCAGTAGCCACTTCAACACTTTAAACTACTGAGAGATTAAAAAACAAATGGCAATTTGTCCTTGGCTGTTTAATTTTTTTAATTTGCTGTTCATGCAACCAGTGGCTTTCTGTTATTTACTTTTTTGCCACAGAAAGTTAAATAGATCTAACTTCCTGTTAGGTTTGAGATTCCGCTCCAAGAGACTTTTTTTTGTTGATTTTGGCTTGTTTGAGGTGTGTGCCAACTTTCGTATGCATGCGTGATTCGTAGCTCGTTAATCGAAGTAATCAAATGTTTACAGTCTTTAAATCTTTGGCTCAAAGTCAAGTCACTTTCATTTCAGTGGAATTTTATACGATACAGATCAAAACAGCTTTATATTGATAGTGAATGCAGCAAACTATATGGCTTGTAAGTTTACCATGAATTGATTTAGCACTGGGTACCAGTTAGGAATTATTTTCTTTAAATGAGAACGCCACTTCCAACTTTTGTATTTTTTAGTTGTATGAGACAAAAATACTTTTGGACAGTAATTAATTTTTTGAAGCAATATTTGTTTTACACAAAGCTGATTGTACATGAACAATTACTGTTTATGGTTATCTGCATAAAATACTTTTATGTTCTGCATATTTTGTCTTACAGCTGAGAAGATTGATCAAGAAACCCTCCTTCTTTTAGATGATGTCACACTGACTTCTCTTATCCCTATTATTGGACTTCGTTTAAAATTCAAGAAGAACCTCAAGAACGTGCTTGATGTAAGTAAAAGGTATTAGGTGTACACAACATGGGGTATATTTGCTTTAAATGCAAAAGGTCTTTGGGATCTGACGTCAGAGCATTTTTTTCACATTTGAGAGTTGCACATCATGTCTATTCTACATCCACATACTTTCAGTGTGCTCAAGCTGGATGTAATCGCACATTCAGTATTATTAGATCATTTAGAAGACACCTACTGCAGCATGCTAATGAAATTGGCAATGAAATGGAGGAAGCCCCTTTGGTTGAGCCTGAAAACTATTCATCAGATTCAGTTTTAGAGGCTGTTGAACAGAGTGATGAGGAGCATGATGACATTTCTGATGAACAATGTGATGAGTTTCAGGAGGAAAATATAAGAGACAGGGTAGCATTGTTTTTAGCAAAATTAAGGTCAAATTCCTCCCAGACATTGAGTGCTGTTAATTGTGTGGTAGAGCACACATCTAGCCTTGTCAGTGATGTTGTTGGATCCCTACAAAGAAAAACAGCCTCTTTTTTAAGAGACATAGGCCACCTTGACAGTCCTGAGAGCCAGAGTTTTTTAGAAAATTTTGCAGTGGCAGCTCAACCATTTCAGGGCTTTGAGTCAGAGTACAAGCAAAAGCAGTACTTTACACAGTCTGGATGCTTTGTTCATCCAAAAGAAGTGCCTTTCCCTGGTGTCTCATACACCCAAAAGAGAGACACATTGACGGGGATTGTAAAACAAGTGGCAGTCCAAGATACGTTTCAGCTAATTCCTTTAAGGCCTTTGCTAAAGCTGGTTTTAGAAAGTCCAGGGACAATAGACAAGATCTTTGAATGCCAAAATCAAGAGAGCACTGCACTGCAAGATTTTAGAGACGGCACAATCTTCAAATCCAGTGAACTGTTTTCCAAAGAGTTATCCATTCCTCTTGTACTGTACAACGATGAATGTGAGATGGTAAACCCACTTGGATCAAAAACTTCAGTTCACAAGCTAGGCTTTGTTTATTTTACTCTTAAATGCTTGCGACCTGAGTTTCTCTCCAGCCTAAACTCTCACTTCTTGTTGGCAGTGTACAAGACAGATGACATAAAAACTTATGGAATAAATGCTGTCTTAGATCCAATTGTGTCTGAGATTAAGGATCTGGAATTGGAAGGAGTTCAGGTTGACACAAAACATTTCAAGGGTACTATTAAAGCAAGCGTTGCACAGGTTTGTGGGGATAACCTGGGTCTTAATTCCATCCTAGGCTACACAGAAAGTTTCTCAGGGAAAACTGTATGTCGATGGTGTCGCGTTCATAAAGAGGTTTTGAGAGAACAGACAGTTGAGGACCTGTCAGTGATGCGCAACAGGATAAACTATCACTCTGATTTACTTCAGAATAACCCAACTGAAACTGGCATTAAAAGAGCGTGTTCGCTCAATAAACTGCAGTTCTACCATGTAACTGACAATGTAACTCCTGATGTCATGCATGACATTTTGGAAGGAGTTGGAGGTTACGAAATCAAGCTTGTTCTTAATTCTCTGATTGAACAAAAACTCTTAACACTCGATCAACTGAATAATAGACTTACAAGCTTTGATTATGGTTTTTCTGATAGTCGCAATAAGCCATCTGTTATCAAGCCTCAGGATCTTAAAAATCCGGATGGGGCCATGAGACAAACAGCAGCACAGATGTGGTGCCTTCTAAGGTTGCTCCCTCTTATGATAGGGGATTTGATTCCAGAAGGCGAGAGACACTGGGAACTAATACTTTCATTACTTAGCTGTATGGAGTTGATTTTCTCTCCAGCCTTAACTGCAGAGGCAGTTACATTTTTGCAGCATTTGATTGAGGAACACCATAGTCTGTTTTTGGAGCTTTATCCAGACAGGCATTTGAAGCCAAAGCACCACTTCATGCTTCATTATCCTGGGGCCATCAGGAAACTTGGACCGTTGGTTCATTTCTGGTCCATGCGTTTTGAGGCAAAACATGGATTTTTCAAAAGACTAAGTCATGTAACCTGCAATTTTCGGAACATTTGTAAAACACAGGCTTTCCGACATCAGATGATGTTGTGCTACACCCTGATGTCTGAGAAAATGTTTTCACATGACTTTGAAGTTGGTCCAGGATACACCACACTCCTGGCATCTATAGACGATTTTGAAAAAGTGAAACATGGATTTGAGGGAATCCCTTTGTTCTCAGAAGTCTATTTACCATCTTGGATTAAGTACAAGGGAGCAACCTATAGGCCAGGAATGACACTTTTTGTATCTCACTCTGCTGATGGTGAGCCCCAGTTTGCAACCATTAGGAATGTTGTGCTCTTTGACTCCAAGGTCAAATTCGTTGTGAAAAAATGGGACACAGTTGGATTTGACAGGCATTATTTTGCCTTCTCTGTGTCTCCTTCTTCTGTGCTTGATTCGGTGGACATTCACACTGTTGAAGATCATCACCCCCTTCATGTTGTAATGTCCTTACAGGACGATGAGAACCACCGTTACATTTCGCTGCGATACAGGCTATTCTAGGAGGGGGCGGGAGGGCGTTGTTGAAGATGGGTTTTTGGTGTTGGGTGGGTGGATGGGGTTATGGTAGCAGGGTGATCAAAAACAACATTAGCCCATGATTGTGTACACCTAATACTAAAAACTATCATGCACGTTTGAACATTTATACAAATATCAACAAATTTCATCAAAGTCATCATGGGGACATCGCAATACATGTAAGTTTTAATGAATGGCTTAGTTAAATTGAAATGTCATGTTAATCAAGTGTGAAGTTGATCAGCAATGCCATTATAAATAATTTATGTGATGACACTTATGGCTGCATGACATCAAAAAAAATTTACATTGCATTTTGCTTATCTTCAATACAAGCTGCAATATGAAAAAATACCTTACTTGAGTACCTTTCATATGGAAATGCTGTTTTATAAATTTAAATCTACAAGTGTTTAAAAATACATATCCAAGGAAATTCATATGCACGTCATTTTCTTTCTTTCATAGTGATTGGTGTTTTAAACTGAAATTCTGGACATAATTTGTACGTTCCTCTATCCATTATACCAGACTTGTCTTCTATGATGTTAGTGTTAATCTACATTAACCTTGCACATTCTGGCATGTAACAATCGTGGATACAAGCATCACTGTATTGTTGCTGACACAATATATTTGGCAAGGTAAACCTATAGTAAAAATGCAATACAGACATGTGAATTGCTATTCATTTTTATTTATTAAAGGAATCAATCAAAGAGCCTGCAACTACAGTAACAGTACTAAGGGAGCAGCAGCAGGGTCCTGAGCAGCACAGAAGAACGGTGGAGCATGCAGCAGCATTTGTAAGGTTCCAGTCTGATAAACCATATATGTGTGTGTGTGTGTGTGTATACAGTGTTTCCTCTAGGATTTTTTCCAGCTGTGGCGACAAGCCTTTTTTTTTTTTATTACACAGATCTACCCACTACCTATGGAGTTATTTCAATGACAGGTGTCGTAAGCGCAGTATTATAAGTCGGGATCGCATTTATGTAATAGCCTACGAGCATGCGAATCTCTGCTTGCGTGTCAATTTCCTCTGCTCATGCACAAAACTTCTGTATGCCCCCTCAAATATAAGCCGCTTCAAGAGCGCGCAGGTCTTGTGCGCTCTCAAACAAATGGTGCTGAGTGTGATTTTAGTGCGTTTATGTAAGAGTGTGTCACTAACATTTATTAAATTTGCTAGAAATATTTATGAATGTCTCCAATAGACCTACAGAGTAGCATTAATGCTTCCTGAAGTAAAGTGAAACGAATATACGTCATGTTTGCTGGCCTCACGCAACAGTAGGTTCACGCTATTATAATTCACTTACCCTTTAATGTGTTTTGGTGCGATTATTACCAGCTATTAAAAAAATAAAATGTTTTGAGTGAGAAGCTGTGATGTAGCCATGGTGGGATGAATTTTGGTGTGGCGCCCCACCATGTAAGAATGAATGTAGCGGAAACCTTGTGTGTGTGTGTGTATGTGTGTGTGTATATATATATATATATATATATATATATATATATATACACACACACACACACACACACACACACACACACACACATATATATATATATATATATATATATATTTATTTATTTATTTATTTATACACACACACATATATATATATATTTTTATATATATATATATATATATATATATATATATATATATATATATATATATATATATATATATATATATATTTACATGCCATGATTTCTGCTACATACATTGTTCCATGGCGGGGCGCCACGCCACAATTCATCCCGCCACGGCTACATATTATAGCTTCTTACTCAAAACATTTTATTTTTTTAATAGCAGGTAATATTTACACTAAAACGTATTAAAGGGTAAGTGAATTATAACACTGTGAACCTTTTGTAACCATAGTAGAGCTGTGCAACATTTGTTTACCCTTTAAGGTGACGTGCTGACTGAGTGGCTGACAGATGTGTGAGGCCAGCAAACACGACGTATAGCCGTTTCACTTTATTTCAGGACGAATCAACATTTATCAAACACATTTAATTTTATATTTATTTTTAAATGTTTTTTTTTTTAGAATGTAAGAGACATCCTTACAGCAACATCCTGTGGCAGCAGTATTGTGGATGCCATTGAAAAAAGCAACTGCATTTCGCTTAAAGAAAGACAATCGATGGTTCGTATCTTGGTTTCACATCTAATTGAGCGCTTTGGAGAAAAGTAAGTACAAATTTAAGTAATGTATTTAATGCTAAAAATATTGTTTGAGAAATTAAATGTGTACATATGTAGTATCTTTTAAAAAAATCAGAATATTGTTTCTTTTAGTCCAAGTGGAGCAACAAAAGTCACCTTGGCTTCGTCAATAGTCGAACAATTTCCATGCCTTAAGGATTGCCAGGGTAAAGGCTATGTGAGTACAGTGTCAAAGACAGATTATTATTTTTTTCTGTATCTCACAATCTGATTACTTATTACAAATCTGATTAAGAATCTTACATTTCTCTGTATTTTCTTATTTAACTACCATGTTACAAGTACATACTTGTTAACAATAATTACAAATTAAAATTTAAATGGAAAATAATAAGTACTTAAGTCATGCAAGAAGTAAATAATAAAGAAAATCAAAAAGCACATTACAAACAATAATAACAGGGTGCTTTAATTTGTAATGTCCTTCAACCATTTCAGACTTTATGGAGCCCGATTTTATGGGCTGTTTGAGGGTTTTTCTGTTTGTGCATTTATGTACTTCAACACAACTAATGTCACTGTTACCTTAGTTCTGGAACTCTGGGTAAATTGGTCCAGTGTTAATTTCTAATTCTGTTTTTGTATTTTTTTTAACACAAGGAGGCATGGTTCAGTCCAGGTAGATTTCACAGACCTGCCACAGGCTTCCTTGAAGAGCGTCTTCGGAATGTGCGCAAAAAGATTAGAAGAGGAAGACAAAAGCCAGTTTGTTCAGACAACCCAAGAGACGGCAGTAATTTTACTTTTCCTGGTATGTGGGTACATATGTGTAGGGTTGGGTATCATTTAAAATTTTGACCCATTTAAAAGACCTAACTGTTTGATATGAATATGATCTCTATTTGCCAACATTAATTGCTGTATGTTTGTGATGTATGGTTCTTCTCACAACAGATTCGAATGTGGACTCGGAAAGAGCAACTCAAATGATAGAGTGGCTCAGAAATAATATCTGGCCAGCAAGTCAGGTCGAGCAGTACATGAAAGAAACAGCGATTCAAAGGGCAAAATGGATTCGTGACGATGGATCCAAAACGATAATGGAAATAGCCAAAGAGTATCCACGTCTTCTCGACACTCCAGGCATGGTGGGAAAATTTTTTAACTAAATTCATTGGCTAAGTACGTTTCATTTTGTTTTACAACTTTTGCCATGTTTGTCTTTGTTTTCTGCTTTTTAGATATCCCAGGATTTTTTAATTTTGAATCCAGACTGTGCTTCAAAACTCACAGAAAATTGGGTACCAGTGTTTAAGGATAAGATTCTTCAGGTTGCCAGCAAACAAAAACAAGCTCTTAATCTACTTCACGACATAGAAACAATGTCAGCAGGTAATAGGCATTCAGCAAACTGTTTATGAAATTAGTTACTTCCCCATCAATCCCAAAAAGGATAGATTGTGAATATTGCCCCTTAATATAAAAATGACTGTTAGTATTGACAATTTTCATTATCATTTTTAGTGTAGTATTTCTTAATAGTTAAGTATTTCTTAATTTTAGAAACTAATGTAATATACTGTATGTAGATTTATTTCAGTCACCTTTTGTTGCAGTTAATTTACATTTTTTGTACTTTGGGTGTTTTTTATTTTAAAGAGAGACAGAGTGACATCGCCATGCAACTCCTTCCTGTAATCCTTCCAACGCATGTGTACAAAATTGGAAGAAAAACGTTCAAACCCACTTTCCTAGAAACCAGGAAAGCCTTCATTGACATACAGCCTGTAAGTTAACAGCTACTGCTAAAACTACATGATGTAAAGCATTTATAATACGTTGTATGGGCCCTTTTCATAGAGAAATTATAATAACTGTAATTAACACTGCAGCGAGGATGTTTATTAAAAAAACTGGAATTGAAAGAGAATAATGATTTATTCCTTATTTGGTAAAGTCTTGGAAACTAATTTGGTTTGATTAGATTTTTTTTTTACTTTTGTCATTAGACCAAATACAAAAATTATATTTTTCGTTATCTCCCAATTAACCCTATAAAGTTTTCAAAATGATGATGACTTCCACGTCTGAGATTCTTGTTAATGTGAAAAGGACCCATTGTATGTATTTATTGTTAAATGACAAATTAATGTTTTTTTTACATTATTTTAAAAATTTGAGAGATTTTTGTCCCTTTATTGATAGTGTCAGTAGCACTTAGAAGTAGGTTTTGACGCAATTTTTTTCACTGGTTTATTGATGTGTCACAACACCGGTAATAATGGAGGGCTGTGGCTCAGTGCCAGCTTCCTTTTCATTTTTGTCTCCCTCTTCTTTCAAGAGGTGTGCTGATTGTGCTCTTCTACCCAGTATGATTACTGGTTCCTCCATTATCCTCTTGCTCTCCTTAATGTCAGTCTTAAAGGAGAAGTCAACTTTTCAGTTTCCAGAACAAAGATTTGCAGGTTATGTCATCTTGAATGTTAATGTATTTCTTTCTTCAGTCAGAATTTTTTTTTTTGTTTAGTTTAAACTTCAGAAATGTAGTTGAAATACAGCTTCAAATGATCCCTAATGTGGTTGTTAATGATCCCAGCTGAGTAGAAAGAGTCTTCTCTATCAAAATGATCAGTTTGTTTCATAAAAAGTTTTTTTTTTATTTTTTATGAAAATAATGATAGTTTAACTAGATGAGACCCTTCTTTCTCTGCTGGGATCAGTTACAACCGCATTTGGGAATGTTTAAAGCCACATTTAAATTGCATTTTGGTAATTCAAAATCGGTACACCATATCTATATCTTAAAATGATTTTCTCAAAAAACTTTTTTTTACAACTGAACAAAGAAAGGCATGAGCATTTTGCTCTGGGCGTGGACTTCTCCTTGAACACTGACATCACCGACTATTGCAGCAAGTCTACTTTAAAGCTTCAAAAAAATTATAAAGTGTCTGTAAAAAATAATCCATATTAATTGAGCAGTTAAGTATAAACAACATTTTCTGAAGAGACACAATAGCTTTTTAAAATAAACATTAACTTTAAACAGAATCTCAAGCATGTGTCCTTGACTGCTTTGTGAGACAAAAAGCATGCTTGTGCTTCTGCTTGTTCTCTGATCACAGCTGTATGTAATTAAAAGCCTACATTTTAGTTTGTTGATCATATAAAGCAATAAAGTCTCTTTAGAATATCTGAACAAAAATTTAAATGGATGTTCATTTCGTTAACCTAAGTGGTAGTTGCGTAGACAGGGATATGTACAGAAAATTCTTAGCTTTTATTACAAATTGGAGTTTGTATTGACAAAGGGTTGAGTAAATAAAGACAGAATTTGATGTTACATTAAGCTGACATTATATTAAAAAATAAAAGTAACATCGTAAAAGAACTGTGTTTTTGCATTGAGTCATCTGCACCCAGGCCAAAAAGTCGTGCCCTAATGCCAACACAATGCAAAAAATGCTTTTCTTACTTAGATTTTTCATCTTCTTTCTTGTCCAAATATATAAAAATTCCAAAATCAAGAATAATTTTCTAGACAAGCAAAACATACTGTCTTGTTTTAAGAAATAATGATAAATATAATGATAAATGATAAAATAATCTGTCAATGAGGTAAGCAAAATAATCTTGTTTTTCCTTATGACAGTATTATTTTGTTTACCCCTTTGGCAGATTATTTTGCTTGTTTTTAGGGAAAATTTCTCTTAATTTTGGCATATTATTGCTTTAAATGAGACATCATGTTTGCTTGTCTAGAAAATTCTTTTTGATTTTAGAATTTTTAAATATTATGACTAGAAAGGCGAAAAATTTAAGAAACTTTTTTGCAGTGTGTTAGCTGAACTTTTAGTTGGTTTAACTTTAACATTTTTAAGTTTTTAATGAATCTATACCATTATTTATTTATTTATTTATTTTTCAGATTGGGACCAATATGGCTGAGTACCTTCGTTCAAAAGAGTCCATTGAATCTCCTTACGTGCTCATGCTTGGAGACAACCACAACTTTCAAGCCTTTGCTATAATAAATGGCACAGCACTTGAGCAAAGCACATTACTTGCTGCAGTGGACATTTGCTTTAAAGCATTTTACATTTTTGACGTGAACTACCCCAAGCAGTGTTCCCTAGTGTGGCAGTTTCTACAGACTGTGGTGTATGGACTTCCTGGGGAGGAGACACCGGCAGTAAGAGTTCTGCGAGCATTCATTTTTGCTGAAAAACAGTAATAATACTGTAACCTTACCGCTTCCTTGGTTTTTGTGTACTTCAACTTGTACTCTGTTACTTCTACAGTCTACTCTGTTTCTTCTACTTCTATCAGTTACATTACTTCAGTTACTTGAATCGTACTGCGATTAATTGTATTGATGACCTATTGTGACATTTTTTGTCACATGGTATGTTAATGTGATGCATATAAATGTTTGTGCACGTTATGAAATGGTTCCATACTTTAAATGTTTTTTCTTAGAAGTAAGTTTGACTTCAGTCAGTTTTATGCACTTTCATTATTCTAAATACTTTTCCTCTACAATGCAGTTAGATTGCAACTTTTTTTACGGATGTTTGCACATGATTGTAAAAGTTATGAAATATTTACCTATTTAAAATTTTCTATTTTAAATTGTTTTCTTTTTTCCTAATCTAAACTTTTTTTTTTCCTTTGGTGCCTTTTTATTATTATTAATTCTACATTACGTTCTTTCTACATTAAAGTTGATGATTTATATATGTTAGGATATGTAGATGTTTGTGTACACATTTGTATTTTTCAGTGAATCTTCTGTCAAGATGTTTTTTTTCATTATTCTGCATTTATTTTTCCTCTACTCTGCACTTACATTGCAATTAATTCTTACAGATGATTGATGCAAATGTTATGAAAAGTTTTTATATTTC